AGAAAGAAAAACATTTTTTTTTCAAAACAAGACAATCTCTCTAGAGTGGATCTTGGTAAATGACATGTGGCTCTCAAACACAAAACTCATGCTTAGGATCAATGCTGAAGCAAGAAATCAAGAACAATGAGGGCATCTTTAAAGATTAAACATCAAATGTTGGGGTATTTTTTTAGATTTAACAACAAATATTGGGGCATTTTTTGAGATTCAACATCGAATATTGGGGCATCTTTGAGAATTCAACACCCTGATGCAAATTATCAGACATTTTGAAGGCATTTCCTCCATATGCAGGAACAAGCACACAAAGCACGAGACTTCATCCAAGGGATAAAATAGAACTAATTCATGTTATATGCATCTTAGACATACTTAAGAGCATCGCATTTATCATTTTTTGTATACATAAGTTTTTGCAGCTTTTAGAGTCAAGTATCAACTTCAAGATGAAGGATGCTCGATTCAAAAGCACATGGTGGTTGCTCTACCTCACAGCGAAGGGGTGACTGTCTGACAACAAAACAACTTTCCAGTTTCAGTCAGAGTCAATTTCAACTTCACGGCGAAGGATATTGAACTCAAAGCGACACAATTCACTCGAGAGTAGATTTTAAGTTCAAGATGAAAGATATCTTGCTCGAATCCAAATTTCACAATAAAGGGGTCATCCACGGTTTTGACTTCACATCGAAGGGAATCGTGTCCACCCGCAACATACAATACTTGGATTTCAACTTCACAACGAAGGATATCCAAGTCAAGGCTCAACTTCTCGACGAAAGGGCCACCTGCGATTTCAACTCCACGACGGAGGATATCGTGTCACTCGAGACAACACAAGTTCAACTCCACAACGAAGGGACGGCTGGTTGTCAACAAATAATTTCCCAATTTCAGAGCCAATTTCAACTTCACAGCGAAGGATATTGGACTCGAGACAACACAATTTCAACTTCACAACGAAGGGACGGCTGGTTGTCAACAAACAATTTCCCAATTTCTAAGCCAATTTCAACTTCACAGTGAAGGATATTGGACTCGAGACAACACAAGCTCAACTTCACAGCAAAGGGGCGGCTGGCTGTCAACAAACAATTTCTTAGTTCCAGAGCCAATTTTAACTTCACGGCGGAGGATATTGGACTCAGAACAATACAACTTACTTGGATTTCAACTTCACGAAGAAGGATATCCAATTCCAAGGCTCAACTTCATAACGAATGGGTCATCCACGGTTTTAACTTCACGACAAAGGGAATCGTACTCACCATTGTCTCTTTTGATACAGTTTCCAAGTTTCCCTTGAAACAAAATATTTGAATATATTTTCATTGAAACTAATTTCGTCTCCCTTGAGACATTTTCTTTTGGAACTAAATTTTGTCTTCATTGAGACAGTTTCTCTTGAAACATAAACATTGAAAACAATTCCCTTGAAATGAATTTTATCTCGATTGAGATAGTTTCCCTTGAAACGAAATTTTGTCTCCCTTGAAACATAAACATTGAAAACATTTCCCTTGAAATAAATTTTATCTCGCTTGGGGTAGTTTCCTTTGAAACAAAATTTTGTCTCCCTTGAGACAATTTCTCTTGAAACATAAACATTGAAAACATTTCCTTTGATATTAATTTTGTCTCTCTTGAGATAGTTTCCCTTGAAACAAAATTTTGTCTCCCTTGAGATAGTTTCTCTTGAAACATAAACCTTGAAAACGTTTCCCTTGAAACACAAAATATTTAAATCAGTTCCCCTTAAAACGAGTTTTGAGACAGTTTCCCTTGAAACAAAATATTTGAATATCTTTTCCTTGAAACAAATTTCGTCTCCCTTGAGACAGTTTCTTTTAGAACTAAGTTTTGTCTCTCTTGAGACAGTTTCTTTTGAAACAAATTTTGTCCCTTTTGAGACAGTTTCTCTTGAAACACAAAAAAACCCCTCGAAATTGTTTCTCTTGAAACACACACACAAAAAACCTTTGAAAATGTTTCTCTTGAAACACCAAACCCTCGATTTCGATTACACTCAACTTCGAGGGCACATCATTTACAGCATAACTCAAGGCTAGAAGGGTTATCTTTCACCAAAAGACCTTCGAGTTTAACTATGCTCAGCTCTAAGGCACATCATTTACAACATAACTCAAGGCAAGAAGGGATATCTGTCAATAAAATTGTCGAGTTCGATTCCATTCAGCTTGATGACACCTCAATAACACTATTGTCCGGCTGCAATCGAGGTTTTTCAAGCCGAGAAGAAGGTCTGGGTTAGCCGTGCCTTAGTAGCAAGAAGCCTTTTTTCCGTCAGCATATCTTAAGTCGAGAAAAGCTATCTGTCAGCGAAGACTTTTCGAGTTCGGTTTCATTCAGCTTGAGGGCATATCAACCACATTGTGGAGTCAAGAGATTACTTTCCAGTCAAATTTTTAGCCAAGGTCTTTAAACCGAGAAGAAGACCAAAGTGGACTACAACGAGAAGCCACATTATGATTCAAATCATTTCAAGATGGACTCGACTTCGCGACGGAGGAGCCATCCGCAATTCAATTCAACAAGGAGTTATTCTTCAACTCCACTGAACAAAAGTTTGTGTCTTTTTATCTTTGTCCTATTTTTTGTTCCACGAAAAAGGATAAAGATGGGCAGCTGTAGACACCCATTTTCTTAAAAGATAGAATTAGCAAGAGTTTCTCTCATAGGAGGACTCTTCCACCACCATATCTTTTAAAGCAACAACCACACCAACAAACGTGCAACAACCGATCAAGGAGTCTAGTTGCATTAGGATTCTATTGTTAATAGGATTCTAAAAATAGTTAGTTTTTTTCACTATAAATACATGTATTCCTCCCCATTTGTAACACACGATTTACATACAAAATACAGATGAAAGCACGGAAAATACAAAGGCAAAGGCAAAGATATTGTAAATTATTCGAAAAGGAAATAAAAGGTAGCATCTTTTTTACTTTTGATTCGGTCTCTTACATTTACGTTTTAATTATTATTATTTTATTTATTTAACTTTATTTATATGCATATTTCCCTTGTTACTCAGTTTATTTAATTGTTTTGTTATTTTTCTTTTCTTTATTTTCATGTAATATTGTTTTTTACGTTTTATGCATTTTCTTTTTTACTTTAGTATATATTTTTATTTTTTTAGATTATATATATATATATATATATTATTTTTTTATTATCAGTTTTATTAATTTATATATATATATATATATATACTATTTTTCATTTTATTTATTTATTATATATATATATATATTATTTTTACTTTTTATTATTATTTTATTTATTTATTTATTTTATTTATATATTTTTTTCTTCTTTTTCTTTGTTTTTTATATTTATTTTACTTACTATTTTATCTTTGCTTTCTTTATCTTATTTTTTATTTAATTTGTTTTTTCTTCATTTTAATTTAATTAATTAATTTATTTATTACATTTTTATCTAACATGGTTTTTTGACCTTCTTAAGGCCACAACTTTAAAACTATCTAATGTAAGTAATTGTGATCGTATTTTTACCTTTTAATTTTAAATTACAATTTTCTTAATTTAAGACAACCGACAAATTAATTGGTACCGAAAGGGTGGTTCAAGGGTGCTAATCCTTCCTTGACCATAACCGACTCCCGAATCCGACACATTTCTGGTAAAAACGCAGATCAAGTAAGATGGTGTCCGACCCACCTAAATTCATTTTAAAGTGGTCGATGGCGACTCCCAACCCAATTATTTCAAGTCGAAGCCCAATTCGGGGCCCAACCGAAAGACGGTTACGACAATTATAAATTGTGAAGGGATAAAGTTGTGAAAACAACATAAGAACATTAAAAGATATGTTCTTATTGGAATGTACAATGAAAATTCGAGGACGAATTTTCTTAAAAAGAGAGGAGATTTGTAACATCTTCAATACCGGGTTAGTGACTAAATCGTAAAATTTCATAATCTGGTGATTAAAGTAAAATAGTTGTATCATGAAACGTTTAAAAAACATTAAAAGCCGGGTAACGTCAAGGACCTTACTGAAAATGACCTAAAAGTTCGATAGTTGTATTGTAAGTTTAAAAAGTCGGGTGACCAAAATGTAAACGTCCTAAAAGTTTAAGGACTATTTATATACTTACCCTATTTTTTATTAATATTAAAAGTATTAAATATAATAATAAATTGAGAAAAAATATATATTTAGTTTTTCATTAAAAATATAGGAAGTGGACAAAATAAGACCAAGTCTCTCTAACTAAGCTCAAATAAATAAATAAATAATTTAGTTTGACCCTAAAATTATTTTATGTTTTGGCTTTTGTGTTAACATTAAAAGCCGAAATCATTGTTGTGATTTAGGATTTTGTCTCATATGACAAAATCATAAACGAGAAAAAAATCAAATTCTAATTGCAAAAGAAAGTCAAAAACATCATAATCGTCATCAAAACCACTCTTTGCTTTATGCGCCTGCAATGCCTTCGGAATCATCTCTAAGGGGTCAAAACTTATATTTTCCCATTACTTTTTCCTTTCTATATATACAAATTTTTTATTTAATATTTGCTTTATAAACATTGCGATTTTTTATTTATTTAATCGAACACAAGAGGTAATAAAAATAATTGAAAATTGAAAAAAAAATCCAACACAGAATCATGGAATTTAACTAAAGCAGATCTCGTAACAAAAATGTAAAAAGATAAATATATTGCTTGAAAAATAAAAAAGGAAAACTTTGTTAATTAAAAAATTAACAAAAATTTAATATTTAATATAAATATATAAATAAATATATATTTTTAGATTACTGGATTTTTAAATTCACGCGCCATGACACAAAAAGAGGAATGATTCTATCTCCAAAAGTAAGTCAACCACTGGCAGGAAATCGACGCCGTTGGATCCGTCTTCTCATGTATATATAAACACTAAAAAAACATTCTCAAAACAAATCATTCAAATTTAGAAGGTAGGCTTTAGTTTGTTTTAGTTATATGTAGGGTTTCTCTTCCTTTTTCCCTCTACCCAAACAGAAGAGAAGAAAGCTCTGAGAGAAAACGAAACGAGAAGAGAATAAAAGAATAATGTCTTTGTCTCTAATTGTGCCGTCGTCTCCCATTTTCTCCCCAAAGAAGCTCCCTAAAATATACTGCAAATCGGACGGCTCATCTTTGTCTTCATCTCCTCGGATCAATGGTTCTCAAGCGCCGTCATCTCCTTTATCTAGTTTGCTGTCCCCCACGAAATCGCCTCGTCAGCTCTTGTCAACCTCCTCCGTAGCGACACCGCCGCCGTCGCCTTTGAAATCTCCGTTGTCGATTTGCGTCTCGAAGAAACAGCTACCCTTCGGAGCGGATCCGGCGCCGTCTGTAGTGAAGAGGAAGAGGCCGGGGAAGATAGAGATACCGACGTTGATGGCGGTTCAGCTGGGATTCGCGACGGAGACGCCTAGAGGAGAGGAAGAGGTTCAGGTGGAAGGGGACGGGTATTCTGTTTATTGTAAGAGAGGGAGGAGAGGGAAAATGGAAGACCGTTACGCTGCTGCCGTTGATCTTGACGGAGATCCCAAACAGGTATTTTTTTTTACCTTAACTTTCTTCTTTGAATCAAATATTCTCTATCATTTCACATTAAATGCATAAAAAATTTATGGTAGAAGCTAAGAATTAGAAAATTTTGGGATTATCTGATGAAAAAGGCTGAAATAAAGTTAGTATTAACTTTTGACAGGGACTACAAATCCAAATTTCCCATTTTATCTTTGCGCGATTGAAATTTTAGCGGCTTCGTTTTTTCTGTTTTTGTTTTTTCAGGCTTTCTTTGGGGTTTATGATGGGCATGGAGGTTCAAACGCAGTTGAATTCGTGGCAAAGAATTTAGATAAGAAGGTCATGGAGGAGGTGTCGAAAATTGGTGAAGATGATTCCATTGATGATGCAATTAGAGAGGCATATTTAGCTACCGATATAGATTTGCTCAAGGACGATGTGGGTGGTGGTACTTGCTGTGTCACGGGATTTGTTCGTAAAGGTGATCTTTTGGTATCGAATGTAGGCGATTGTCGTGCTGTTTTGAGCCGAAACGGTGTAGCAGAGGCCTTGACGTCCGATCATCAACCTTCGAGGCAAGACGAGAGAGATAGAATCGAAGCTTTGGTAAACAAACAATTTCACTTGGTTCATCTTTAGCTCAAATTTAATACAATGAAGATTAAAGAAAAAAAATGACAATTCGATTCTTAATTTTGTAGGGTGGTTATGTGGATTGTCGCCATGGTGTTTGGAGAATTCAAGGTTCTTTAGCTGTTTCAAGAGCAATTGGTGATAGACATCTTAAACAATGGGTAATTGCTGAACCAGAGACGACAATGATCAAAATTAACCCGGAATGCGAGTTTTTGATCCTTGCTTCGGATGGTCTTTGGAATAAGGTAATATCCTAGATTGAAATATTTTTTGAACCCCATTGTTATGATGTTGAATTGAACATTGTTTTTCTGTTGCCTTTCAGGTTACTAATCAAGAGGCGGTCGATTTGGTCCGTCCATTCTGCGTAGGCCTCGACATGCCTAACCCGTTTTCTGCTTGCAAAGAGCTGGCTGAATTATCATCATGGAGAGGTTCATCCGATGACATTAGTGTGATGATAATCCAACTGCAACACTATGTTTCTTGACTTCTCAAGGAGAAAATGAATTGGTTCAAATTCAATCGTCTGAAATCGAATCTCTCGCTGTTATTAAAAGCTAGAAGAGACCTCTTAGACCAGTTATACTTTAAATTTTGCCTCATCCATTCATCCCGTGGTTGCAATGTTGGTGGGGTTAGTAGCTTTGACATGGACATGGCAATGTGTTCCTTGCAGATTGCACATATCATATTAGGGTTCAATTGGTTCCCACCCATAGAGTTTGTGGTTACCTTTTAGCATTGACTCGTAAGGTATTATCAAATAATTTATAAAAAGTAATGGTAGTGGAGCACTTGTACCAGCTGTTGATGATCAACCCTACAAGCTGACATCTTGTTCAGGCACAATGGGTCACATTTGGCAGCTGGCTTCCTGCACATCTCCAAAAGAATGGACGAATTGTTTGCTAATGCTTTTCTTTTATGTTTTAGTAAATTATATAATGACAGGATTAATGTAATTAATGTTTCCTGTATTCTATGTATTAAAAAATGCAATTAATAACATTAGTAGGTTATGTGAATATATGATGTATATGCATATGTAAAAAACATAGAATTAGTGTTCGGAATAAAATCGAACTCTTGATATATAATGTAACATAATCATGCAAATAAAATATATCGATGGTTAAATAAACCAATTAATGTTTGTTGTACCTATTTATCATGTTTTCTTATTGTTTGATGGATGAAAAATAGATGATTGAAATTAATAGTAAAATATAAAAGGAATTTTGTAATTGTTCTCAATTAAAAAAAATTAATCTCAATCATTAAATTTATAAATCGTGTAAAATTGTTCTATATAGCGATTTTAATTATTGGGTTAAGTATACAAATGTTCTTCATTATAAGATAATACTTTATAGAGTCATTTGATTATCAAAAGTTACAAAATTGTCCTTTGATTATAGGGAGTTGTTTTGTTGAGTCCCTTGACTATTAAAAGTTATAAAATCGTCACTCGACTATTCATTATGTTCCAAACTCATCATTTTCTAGTAAAATTTTGACGGTAGTATGAGCTATACGTTAATCTTCTGTTGATTGAGATAAAATAAAATCTGATCTCATTATCTCAAACATATATCATATCTCAGTCAACATGTAAATATTCAACTCATATTACCGTTAACTTTTTAACAAAAAATTATGAGTTCGGAACATAATGAATAGTCAAGTGATAATTTTGTAACTTTTAATAGTCGAATGACTCAACAAAGAAACTCTCTATAATTAGAGGATCATTTTGTAACTTTTAATAGTCAAGAACTCAATAAAGTAGAATCTTATAGTTGGGGGACCATTTGTGTACTTTACCCTTAATTCTATTTGTTTATATAGAGAGATTTATCCTTGGTTTGATCCTCATTACAAGTTGCGTTCTCCCGGCTAGTTTGTTCCAACTCATGAGTTGAATTTTTTGATAAATATTAGATAATTTTCTTAATCACCAACGACACATTGTTTTTTTTTTTTTTTTGAATAGAATGAGGCTAGAGCCAATACATTATATCCATTTTAGCCGGGCATAAGAAGGTCCAGTGGCATCCCTATTTAATATGCTAAGAAGGGAGACATGAGGCTCGAATTAAAATAAAAAATGCATTCTGGTGAATTAAAAGAAATAAAATTAAAACAAAGCAAATAAAGGAAGTAAAAAGAAAAAAATTCCTAATCTCAAAATTAAATATAAACAATTACTACAATAAAGAAAGGAAGTAAAATAAATAACATAAAAACCCCAAATAAAAACTAAATAATAATAAATAAAATAATAATAATAATAAAAGACTAATCTCAAAAAAAGAAAAACAAAAATGAAATAAAGCACAATAAAAAAAGAAAAAAGAAAAAAATAAGTAAAATAAATAAAACAAAGTAGAATAAGATAAAAATAAAAACAAGGAAATAAAATAGAATTGAAGAAGATTAAAAACATAAACAAAATAAAAGGAAAACAAAACGAAAAGAATAGAAAAAATAAAAATAAAATAAAATATGTATATATATAATATAGTGTTTAATAATAAAATAAATAAAAAACAATGATGAAAAATTAAAAATATATATATAAGAACGTTAGGTAAAAAACCAAAATAAAAAAAATAAATAATATATATATATAATGTTAGGAGGAAGAAAAATAAAAAATAAAAAAATAAAAAAAATATAATAATAATAAAAGGACAAAGACAAAAATATAATAATTAAAAATAATAAATAAATATATATATATATATATATATATATATATATATATAAATAAAAGGTAGTATAAAAATAAAAAGAAAAAATGATTAAAACATGAATTGAATTTAAAAAAAAGGACTAAATTAAAAGAAAAGAAATCTGGAGGGTAAATTTCAAAGCAATTTGGGATAAAAAATCAGTTTAGGGGGCAAGATGAATTTCTTTTAAAAATGAGGGATCGAAAATGCAATTAACCCCTTTTAAATCGAAAACACGTGAAACACACCCGGGTCGATGGGCCTGGGATAAATGCCAAAAAATCACAAACACCATTCATTTCTCTTCTCCATTAAAAAACGGATCAAAACACACCCTGAAATTTTCTCTATAATATTCTTGGTGTTCTTCATCAGATGAAGAACACCGTCGTAAAACCCAAAAATCAGTCGGTCACCGCCTCGCTGGCCGCCGTTCATCGACGGCAAGAGCGAGCCTTTTGTACACCATTCGAAAGAATTTTTTCCCCGTTTCAAAAATCAAAACCTTTTTTTCAAAATAGCCTCGGGAAGGACTAGATCTGAGATTCAAAATCTTGAAACCCTCCCCATGTTCATCGGTGTTCCGAACCCAAAAAGAGAGAAGAAAAAAAAACAAACTACATGCAAAGGCCAAAAACCGAACGAGGTAAAAAAAAGATACCTTCTTTATTTCGATTTCACTTTCGAAAGTTTACAAAATTTCTTGCTCCGATTGCCTTGTTTTTCTGTCGTATCTTTTCTTATGTTTTTTTCTCGTGTGTTTTACAAGTATTTATAGTTCTTAAAGTCATATTTTCCCTTCTGTTTTAGACTTCTATTATGACTGAAATTGTTGCTTTGTTTGTGGTTTATTGGTGTTTATGAAATCTCATCGTCGAAAAACTTGGGGGTTGTCGTTGGTTTGACCCGATCCTTGCGTGTGTGGCTGTTGCAGTGTTGAGAATAGAGGGGCGAGAGTTAGGGTTTACAGACCCTAACTATTTTGGTTCGGGTCGGGCCTCCAGTGGATTCGGGTCTCGGGTCCTGGGTTACTGTAACACTCATCTCCCGTATACCCTTACATATACGAGTTACAGATGTCACATCATTTTTAAAACAGTTTCCATTTGAAAATCCGTACAATTTTGTTTTATTTTATAAAACCATTAGAATTTATTTATAATTAAAACATGCATTACTTACATATACACATAAAAAGAGATGTTCCACATTTTACCCTTTTACAGTAGTTCAATTCAAAGGTTTTACAGAGCGTTTTTACTAAACCTATTACATGCCAATTAAAATATATCAAAAGTAGACATGTATGCCATATTGTTACTGAATTAGGTGACTCTGACTTGATGTTCGATGCTCTCCTTACTAAGCTGGTATTCAACCTATGCGTGAAATGAACACACGTTAAGTATTATTTAGTGAGGCATACATAATCATAAGCAACTTATAAACATAATACATGGTAACAATTCTAATATCGAGTTATTATTTACAATTTATTATAAACCTTATAACTTTACACCATTGGTGCTATTATGGCCCATTACCCCCATTCTATTCATGTTCATTTTTTTAAAAAATAAAATAAATAAATTAAAAACTTCAATAAATGAATCATAAGTTAACTATAGACTCAAATTTATAATTTCCAACATAATGACAATGTGTAAGCGACTTACAACCTGATTCTCTAAGAAAGTCCTCAGTGGAGTTACCAAGCTGTCATAACTATTTTTTAAAAAAACAATTAAGTTTTAAAAAATAATTATGACTTTATTTGAAAAATTAGCGATTTTGAATTAATTTGAATTAGAGTCGCCATCAACCTTTGAGTTAGGTAGGTTGAATACTTAAAAACGTAATTTAAAACAATTTAGGGAAGAATCGTTTTTTAAGACAAAAATTGGTCTACGTTATCCAAAAATTTATTTTAAGGGTTCGAGAGTCGATTACGTATGGGGAATGATAAACACCCCCACAACGCCCAAAATTAGTACTTAGTCGCTTATATATTGTCGTAAATGGTAGAAATTATGAATCGAATATATAGTTAAAATGTGATTCGTTTATTAAAGTTTGATTAATTTGCTTTGAATTATTTATTAGGGAAAATCCTTTAATTCGAAAAGAAATATTGAGATTTGCTCATCATCCGACAGGAAGAATATATCTCATATTTCTTGAACAAAAAGAATATTCCCTCATTGATTTAAAAAAAATGCAAATCGAAAATAAATTGATTATCAATAATCACATAAAATATATTATTAAAAACATGCATTACGTCGTTTGAGTAAAAACAAATTAATTAGCACTTTAAAAATAACTTCGATTTATTTCAAGTTCATATTTCGTTCGAATATCGTATCGGATCACACTACTTCGACCAAACATTTTTTCCACGCCCATTCTAAAAATAAGTGTTCTTGAAAATATTAGAGTAAAAAAGTGTTAAAAATGAATGAAACAAACATTTTGTACAATCGTTCGAACCAATTCCCAAGAGCCAAGAATATATACATACATAAATAATACGAATAAATATATAATATCCATGGTAAAAATGTAAGGAAATAAAATCCAACTAAGCAAAAAATAAATCATAAAAGTAAAATAAATAAATAATAAAACAAGTAATTAAACGAATAAAATTAAAGCACAGAAAAATAAAGAGATATAATTAAACGATTAGAACATTAAAACAAATAAAATATAAATTCTGAAATTAAATAAAGAAAATAAAAATGCATAAATTTAAAAGTGCATAAAGTTAAATAACAGAAATAAAATGCAATAAAAATAAAATGTTAGTAGTTAGTTATTAACGGTTAGTAAGGTTAGCGATTAGTAGAGTTA